GATTAGAAATACTATACTATTTTATTTGGCTTCTTCAACCCTTACCGGCCAAAAAACTGCTTTTTTATCGATATATTTGTGAATTTTTATTTTTTAAATTATTTCTAAAAAGATTACTTGACAGAAGAGTCGAATCACTTCTCTTCCCTTGCCAAATTAACTCCAAGTCAAATCTCTGCAAGATCATTATCTGATGAACTCATGTCGTCATCTAATGCCACAAGTTGACTCTGTTTGAAGTCGCTGCTGTTATTCTTGGTACCTGCACTTATTAGACCAGATTCATATGTGCCACTTGTGATCTGAGTAGATGAAATTGATTGGGGGCTTTATTCTATTCTGCTGGTATGAGTTCTGATATTTCCCAATTAAGCAGCACCCTACATGTTTTCCCCGCATATTCACAACTAGGTGGATCTGGTTCACCCTGGTCAAAATTTACCTCCACCTAAGTTTGATACAATTGTTATTTTTTTAGAAAGTACTATTGACATCATTGGATACGAATGTATGAGCCCTTTTTGATGAGTATTTTCAGCTATTCTTAAGTTTTTGCAATCATGTTTTCAATGAGGCACAGGATCAAGGTCACTGCACAAGGGAAAACATTTGTCTTGCTTCTAATTGTATGATAGGTAAATGATCAAATGATGTGGAAGGTGATTGGAAAAGGATTAAGGAAGCTCAGAGCTTCTCCATTGGTTTATGTTCTTGCTGTTTTATACTTGTTAATTTTATTGTTTGGGTCTTCAGCCACCCATTCCTATTTATATTATGTTTTCGCTCCTGATGAATCCACTGTATACACTTGGTAAATTTCTTTAAGGATGAATTTGAAATGTTTAATATCTTTAAAATGATATCATAATATGGTGAAAAGTCATTGTGGAAACATATTAACGGCTCTACATCTATCAAAACAAGTCTGAGCCCCCAAGATAAATAACCAAGGTGAGTACAATAGAAAACATATACCTAGTACATTAAGTTGGTGCCCTAGTTTTCCTATTTTGTTCTACTGTTGTCCATATCGAATGATCTCGGTGGTAAATGTGGTTACTAATGATTCTCCAGTACTCAAAGGTATATCCTGTTGTTGAGATATTACTAATTCTCATGCTCAAAATTTGCTCCAGGAGCCAGCATTCGAAGAATTAATTTTACTTTATACTGACCAAATGGATCATACATGTGGTGTAGATTGCGACGAGCTTCCTTCTTTGCAACTTAAGATATACGAGAGGATTCCCCTTCCTGATCTGCCAGTACGTTGAAGCATGTCATAAGAAGAATCACATTTGATTTCTTGATCCCTTAGAGTCTTAAAATGCTTATACATGTATATCACGAAGTAACTGACTAATGTATTGCAGGTTATCTTTCCTCACACAAGACTTTCATTTCGTATACTAGATACGGTATGTTTTATTGCTCTAGCTAGTGATCTTGTCACATTTCACATGAATTAATCTGTTTCTTTTTCATAATTATGTTCATGAAACTCTTGAAAAGTTGATATCATGATTCATGTGAATATTATTGATTGCGCTTTTATGTATGTATCGTCATTTATAGAGTTCTATTTATGAAGGACAATGATTAACTTTCTCAAGTGTTGGAGATTTTCATTGTTTTACTCTGATGGCTTCTGCTAAATGCAATGACAAAGAACCGAACAATTGTTTGCTGTTATTTCAGTAACATGCTAATGGAATTAAAGGCTGTCAACTATCTCGATTCAAACTTTGTTCTAAAATCAGAATCTACCCAATGTTTTGCTTCTTGTTAGCTTTTGAAGACCTAACCTTTCTCTAGCAATTTTGACTTTGTTAGCGTTCTAACGATGCTTTTGCTGAATGCATGCTGTTGTTGTGTCCATTTCGTTTTCCTTTTTTTTTTATTGATAAGTCACCATTTTTATTTCTTTTTGTAACTGTGTGTGTTTAAAAATGGTAAGGCTAGCCTGTATCAATTATTCTGGAAAAATAACTCCCATGATCAAACTGCATTTTATCTTTGCATAACTACTCTGGCCAACGAGTCAGCAATTGACTTCAATTCTTGCAATATATGAGCAAAACCCATGTCTGTATTTACCTCAATAATAAAATCTCCTGGAATATGGCGGACAACTCTCTATGGATAGGTTGCTACCTTGGTGGCCCATGCTATCATAATCTTGGAGTCCCTTTTAGCTACCGCTGACTGCCATTGCATCGTTTGGAGGTGAAGATCAGTCAGCAGTGATCATGTTTCAGCGTCATTTGAATCACCTACTTCAACAGGTCCCCAGTTGTTGAATTTATGTCACCTTAGTCGGTGCAAAAAACACCACTTTAACCAGCTTGTCCTAGCTAGTTCCTTCGAAGTTGAGTTGAAACTTCTTCTGGAGGTTGCCAGTTCTATCATTGAAGGCATCTTGGAGCTGAGCTTACTGTTTCATGCCACTGGTTGTGTAGATCAGAGACTGAGAAGCCTTAAAGCCTGCTTTTTTTTGTGTTTTGTGTTGGGGGGGGCGGGGGTGTGGTTGGCGCAAAGTAGCTTTTTGTATTTAATAAAGTGTATAAAAGTATACAAATTACAAATGCTAAGTGGTGTGCACTTTACATGACCATGGTACATGGGTCATTTGCACAAAAATTCCCAAAAGGAAACAAACTTTCTTCTGAGGTGGGTTTAGGAAGCACCATCTTCGGCAAGAGAGTTAACATCCAAGTTTGATTCATGCCATATATGTCTAAAGGATTTTCCTTCTAAGATTGAAACTTTGATCGAAGATGGTTGCAGCCTCCAAGAATAGGAAGTAATTCTATTAGCCACGTTTTGACGTTCACTTAATTCCCTTCAACCAGCAAAGGGGTGCCCTGGCTAGCTTCAAATAGTTTAGCTCGCTGAGCAAAGCCATATCCTAGGCCAGTGTGGAGTTTATATGTCCTATTTCATAGTTACCATGGGTGGGAGAAAGAAATGCTTTGGGATCGGGAGCGGAAGCGCATAGCAAGGAAGCCGCAAAGTTCCGTGGTTGAGGGAATGACTTCCATAGATATAGGGATCGAGATCCCTGACTTTTAGGGATCAAGTTCCATAACTGCAAAGGAGTGGATCCCTATCGCAATGGGATCGCATTTCACTCTGTTAGGATCTAGGTTCCCGAAGTCTAAATATCCACTGCATTGTAATCTAGGAGTGAGTTCTGTTTAATAGTATTTTTAACTTTTCCAAATTCACAAACCCAAGTATCAATGTATATAAGAATCATGTTATTGAAAATTTCTTGGACTTTTTGTTATCAATGGAATAGTGATACTAAAAACCTATATGATGATGTAATACCTAATAAGTCCTTTGGCACGAATGGAACTTTGTGTCGTCTGCGATCTCTCTCTTTCTCTCTCCTCTTAGCTTTCTTCAACTGGTTAAGAAATCCATTCATTGGGGACTTATATGGGCTCTTATTCTCTTGAAATTCCTTGGGGAACATTGTGGTCTTTCTCCCTCTCAACATTGTCAATAATGAACTCTCTTAACTCCCCTATTGTTGTAGATACCCCATTTTAAATCTGGCAAATTCTGTAGTTTCTTGAACCCTTAGGACCACACTTATCGTAGTAAACTAAATCCATAGCCCACACAGCCTACCTTGTGACTCAGAACCATTCTGCTTACCCAGAACCTTGCAGATACCCTGTTTTGATCCAAAATCTTGCAAACGCCCTGTTTTACCAAAAAAATCATTAAAAATAGTAGAAAAATCCTTTTTGATCCAAATTTATCTGAGAGCTTCACAAGAGGCTGAGGAACACACCTAAAGTGAAAATTTTCAAAGTTTGACCAATATTGGTTTGGGCGACACTGGGAGTGTCGGCCAGCCTAGACTGGGTGACACGAGTGGTGCCGCCCAGACCTGGGCGACACCCAGCCCTGTTCAGCCCCAAATTAGAAAATTCCATGTACGTTGATTTTCTTGCCTTTTTGTGTTATTTTTACCATGTTTGTTTGAGCGACACTAGGCGTGTCTCCCAAATCCGGATCCCCAAAAATGGTATCTTTGGTTGAAGGTTCTTTTGGTTATGGAAAGATGCCCTTCCCAACAGATCCTTGGCCCTTTTAAAACCTCATTTTCGTGGCCATAGAGGGGAGACCAGACTTTCTTAGAGAAAGTTAAGCCTGAAACCCTAACCCTAAGCCTGAGAAATCTTAACCTAGACTTAGGGAACCCTAATTCTAAACCATCCTTAGGGCACAACAACCATTTGAAACCAGAGATTTGCGGGTCAACATCCGAATCAGAGAGGCAAAGAGGACGTCGGTTCTGATACGGGCGAGCCCTCGAAGGCTCGGGATCTCGGGCCAGATGGCCCGATCGGGTATATTTCTTTACTCTTTCTTACTTCTTTTCTTGTTTAATTTATCTTAATTGGTATTTTAGTATTTCAGTGCTTTTTAAATTCGTGTTTCATATTCTCAGATCAATGCTGACTCTGCCACAGATCTGAGATTGGATCTGCTCGTTTCCGGGCAGATCTGGCCTCATATATGAATTCTATTTGTCCCACTTTCTCTACCACACATTATTTTTATCAGTTTAAGGTGTCAAATTAGAGGGATCTTCTTCTGAAGATCACTCTGATTTGCTCTGTAAACAATTGTAGGTGCACTGAAACCAGTCAAGAACAAACTATCTCAACTCCTCTATTGTGGACTTTCTCTCTCCTTGCCCTCTCTTGTTGCCTTTCTTTGAAATTAGACACAAGTCACAATTCACAAGGTGTGTAAAGTATTGAACTGTAAGATATATAAGAAATCAAGAATTAGAAAGTTTTGTAGGTCATAAAAAAATGGAGATCTACACTTCATTCTATATGAACAAAAAAGTGTGTCATTAAAACTAGCACCCGAAGTATATGATACTTGATTCTATGTTGGTGGAATTGCGGTTCCACTTTCGCTTGAAACGATGATTTTTGGTATAGGGATCTGGGTCCCATTAATATATGGAGTGTGTTGTTAAAACTAGCACCCAAAGTATATAATACTTGATTCTATGTTGGTGGAATTGCGGTTCCACTTTCTCTTGAAACTATAATTTTTGGTATAGGGATCTGGGTCCCATCAATATATGGATCAAGATCTTTGATTTTTCCAGATTAAGATCCTTAATATCAAGGAAACACAAGGAATTGAGATCTTGTGGTTCCGCTTACTCATGAAACAACGATTTATGGTATACGGATCTGGTCCTTATTAAAATATGGATCGAGATCTATGATTTTTCCAGATCTAGATCCTTAATATTAAGGAATCACCGGGAATCGAGATCCCATGTTTTGGAGCACCAAAAGAAGATCCCGGAGCGGAAGCGACCCCTCCTTAGAAGATCGTGGTAACTATGGTCTTGTTAGGCATGAAAAAGCATGGATTGTTTGGACTGAGCAATTTCAGAATATGCCACCATACCAGCCAAACCAGGGTTCCCAAGAAAGGAGCCATCAAATCTTAGTTTCACAGAACTTGTAACAGATGGGGTCCAAAGAGAGGATTTGGAAGTAGTCATTGGTTTGGATCGAAGAAGGTGTTTCCAGTTCTATCAAACTCAGCCACCAAAGAAAAACAATATTCTTGGCTATAACGAGCCAAAATGATAATGGTTGCTTTCAGTTTATCAATGGTTGCCTTGGTATGGGATGCTTCCCTTTTGAAAGCTTTCTTAGTTTCATTCCAACCAAATAGTCCAATTACTTCCAACCACATGGTCCAATTAGTCACCAAAAAAGTAGCTCGCCATAGCACCAGACTTGAGGATGTGAAAGAAAAGAGGGGGGCGAGTGGGGGAGCCACCAAAAAAAGTAGCAAAATTCTTGGCTATAACGAGTCCAAAAAATAATGGTTTCTTTTAATCTGTCGATTGTTGTATTAGTGTGGGATGCTTTACTTTAGAAAGCTTAGCTGTTTCATTCCAACCAAATAGTGCAATTGCTTCCAACCAAATAGTCCAATTGCTTCCAACCAAACGTAGTCCGCCATAAAACTAGGCCTAAGGAGGTAAGAGGGGTTGGGGGGGGGGGAGAAAAACACGATAGAGCTGTTGGACTAATAGGGGTGTAACCCGAAAATAGCCAAACAAGTTTAGGATAAAGGTCTAAAACCATGTGGCCACCTTACAATGAATAAAGCGATGGCCAATTGACTACAAAAGAACTAAAAATTTCGATTAGCGAGACCCACCCTGGTCTTTAAAAAAAGAAACAAAAGCGTAAAAACATAGAAATAATAATTAAAAATATAAAAATTGGACATAATTCTTTAAAGAAGGAAAGAAAAGGAAAAAAACAAGTGCTATTAGGCAAATTACATTTATAATCGCATGCCAAAATAATTAGTTTTTTATATATACTACATAAAATACCAAATTTAAAGC